AAGAGCGGCCACCTTCTCCTTCTCATTTTCACTTTCATCATCGGATGAGCTGCTTGATGATTCAATATCCGTGAGCCAATCACCAACAATATAGGCCTTGCCATTCCTTTTCTTGTGAAATTTCTTCTTCTTGCCATCCTTTTTCTTGTATGGCTTGTTCTTCTTCTTAACATCATCATCACTTGAGTCATCTTTCTTGCCCTTGTACTTCTTCTTATACTTGTCTTTCTTGGATTTGGGGCATTGATGAGCTAGATGACCAAGATCTCCACAATTGTAGCAATCCATTTCGGAAATGGGCTTCCTTCTACTACTAGTGAAGAATTTCTTCTTCTTGCCATCAAACTTGACACCATTCTTGTTTAGCTTCTTGAGCATCTTGGCGGTTCTTCTCACCATGAGAGCAAGGCTTGCATCATCAATCTCATCATCACTTGAGCTATCATGATCAACTTTTGCTTTGCCCCTCTTCTCTTGCTAGCCTTTAATGCCAAATCTTTCTTCTTGGTGGAAGAAGAGCCATCTTGGGGAGTGATGTGCATGTACATCTCATGTGCATTGATCTTCCCTAATATTTGAGTTGGTGTAGCGATGGAAAGATCACCTTGATGAAGCACCATCACAATATGCCCATACTTGTCAATGGGGAGGACACTCAAGATCTTTCTCACAACATCGGATGGTTGTATTTGAGTGAGTCCAAGCCCATTGACCTCCTCTACAAGAACATTCAAGCGTGAATACATTTTATTAGCATTTTCACTAGGAAGCATTTCAAATGAATTAAGCTTCTTCATCACGAGGTGATAGCGTTCTCACGCTCACTCTTGGTTCCCTAATGGAGCGTACAAATGTCCGATCATAGTTGATGGCCGTCTTTGTGGTTTCGCACATGGTTAATGACATCCTTGCAAAGGCATCTAAAAAGAGTGTTTCTAGCCTTTACTTTCACTTCTCGTAGTGAATCTCATCACATTGAAGGTTAGCGGGATCCCTAGGTGTTGAGAAACCTTGTAAGGTGGCTCTAAGCACTTCAACATCTAGAGCCTCTAGGTACGCCTCCATGTGAATTTTCTAATAAGGAAAGTCATCTCCCTCAAAGACGGGAGGGGGTCCATCCCCATAGGACATCTTGCTCTAGACGGTTAAGCTTAATTCAAGGAGCACGAGGCTCTTATACCAATTGAAAGGATTAAGATGCCCAAGAGAGGGGATGAATGGGGCTAATTCTAAATTTCTTGCAATAATTAAGCCCTATACTTAGCACATTTCACCCTCTTGTGCCTAGAAGTGTTTCTATTATTCTACCGCACAAAAGTTTTGCACACTAGGTTCCAATTCTACTCTAGCTTGGCAATTCTAAGAATATAAAGACATGAATTGAATTGCTCAAAGTAAAGAGAAGGAGAGGAATGCGACGATGTTTTTTCGATGTATCGGAGATTCGTCACTCCCCACTACTCTCCACTAGTGCTCTTTGGAGCACCCGCGCAAGGGTGTAGCTCCCCCTTAATCCGCGCAAGGATCAAGTGCTCTCTATGGGCTAATTCTTTGACACTCCGTCGTGGTGAATCACCCACAACCGCTCACAACATGACTTAGGTCATCCATAAGCTCCACCGGATGATCACCAAGCTACCAATCACCACCGAGCCGTCTAGGTGATGGTGATCACCAAGAGTAACAAGCACAAACTCTTAGTTGACCAAGACAAGCCTAATGAGAAAGGTGGATGCACACTTGCTACTCCCTATGCACTAATGATGTCCTTAATCTTGGATTATCAAATCTCAATCACCCCACTAGACTCTTGCTATCCCTTGTACTCTAAAGTTGTTTCTCAGCTGAACAAATGGGCAAGAGAGCTCAATTGGATGAGTAGGATATGTATTTATACCCCCCATTTAAAACATAATGGTTGGGGTCCAACTCAGCATCTTCTGGGTGACCGAACGCGCAGGTCCATGTGACCAAACGCGCCGGTCAGTAGCCAACGGCTATGTGGTGTCACCATGTCAGAGAGGGCCATTGAAGTGACAAGACACAGAGGAGCGTCCGATCCTCCAAGACTTGACGCGTCTGGTCCTCAAATTTTCACTCTGGAACCTTACTGATGTTGATCGGGCGCTGCAAACATAACGTCCGATCATCCAATGTTCATCGTCCGATCCTTCATCAACACTACGACCTAGCTACTACAGTTGGTCAGCACCAACGCGTCCGGTCCCAATCAATGCGCAGCGTCCGGTCTCTCCTCGGCTTCCGACGTGCGTGTTGAACACTGACCGGACACAACACCTGTGAGTCCGGTCAACATTAAATCAGCGTCCGGTCAATCATTTGACTCTCCATTCACTTCCGATTCAAAAACCTTCATGAATGAAGTTGACTCTAATCGATCTTAGGGCTATTCCTAAGCTACTTAGTGCTAAGTTTGACAAGTGTGCACCACATCTAACCCATTAGACTCACCTAGGTCAAGCTACTAGTTCATACCCCCCTTAATAGTACGGCCAAAGGAAAAATAAAGTCCTAAACTACTCTAAGTGTCTCTCCAACGCCAAACGACACTTAGAACTAGTCCATCCTTTGAAAACCGAAATGATTTACATCGATAAGGGCATGAAAACCATAATTGCCCAAACAATCATCATAATCATGATCTAACTCAAGTTGCCTTTGTAAAACACACGTTAGCCATAGTAATCTCATATCGTCATTAATCACCGAAACCCAACTAGGGGCCTAGATGCTTTCACCAATCGGAGTGCACATTTACAACCATCTTTAGCACCATGGTTAGCTAGATACATAAAAAACACTAGATACCTCATGAGATCAATATTACAAGCAAGGTTCTAGTATTACTTATGAAAATAATATATCTAGCTACCAACCTATTCATGCTAGTTGACAAATCATCATTCAAGTTCTAAAACTAGCATACACCACACAAGCATGAATATCAATTTAAAACTTGTGCAAATGCAAGCAAGCACATGAATATGCACATATCAAATGCAACAACCAAGTTCATGAGCTTGCTCCCTCTACTTGTGTGCTTCAATTTTTTATTGATCCCCTTATATTCTTCCATGTCCACCATCTTGATCACTTCTCCTATCTTTTTGACTAACTTCTCTCCTTTTGTCATCTATTTTCACAAAAGGTATGCACCCTATTTTGATGCAGGTTGAAGTAGTCATCTTGAAACAACGGAGATGATCACTTAAAGTTGAGGATCACTTGACATATATGGTTTAGCATGTATGGAGATGTTACAAGAAATGCTTTGTAAAATGTTGAGCAAATTGAATCATTGTACAATGTATGGATCATTTACAATGTATGTGCTTTTCACGTGTCTAAGCCTCGAGGAGCATTGTTGTTTTCCTTTTTTTTCATGAACGTGTTTTTTTTGCATGTCCATATAGGAGTCCAGTTTTGGTTCTTATTTCTTCTATATTTTATGTTTTTTTCTATAAACTTTTTTCTATACCTACCTCAATCTATACGACCTCAATATTAAAACCCCAAAATTTTAGCTCATTTTTTTGTCCACCTGCCTACGATTGCTAGACTAGTTGGTCAAGCGTTCGGGTGACATCCCCCGTGACCAGAGTTCGAATCCTTGGTCAAGCGAATTTCTGGTTGGCGGTGTGGAAAAAAAACCTCGCCTGTCCCGCGTTCCCAAAGCACAGGTAAAACAGACCAACCCTCTCACCGGGTAACGGGCCCCTGTGTGTGGGTGGGGCATGGGGTTTAGGGGTTTTTTCGGGCTAGGTAAGAAGTCCTCTATCTTAAGCTAAAATAGATCGGGGGTGTCTACCCCCGCAGCCCGAGTTTTTTTTGGCCGACCATGCCTGCTGACCGTCCCAACGCGAACTTTGCAGAATTGGCTCCGACGCGGACTTCGTAAGACCTAGGTGGACTCACGTCAGCCGTCGGGGGCGTGCTTTATACTGGGCGCAATTTTGGATTTCAGAAGCGGGGTGGAAGCGTGCGGACTTTGGATTTCTAGTGCGGAGGAACATACGGTGGTCGGATGGTATACGTATTGACGTATTGGTATTGTGACCGGATTGTATACGTTTTTGTTATCACCGGGTAGATGATTACTCTAGAGTCTTTTTAGGTGTATTAATATAGCCAATAATTGGTTGTTTTAGCTCCTCTCATCAACCAATTTTTTCCCATGCACATTGCACTGTCTTATAGCTATATTTACACTATCTTATTACTATATTTACAATGATTTCTTAGTGTAATTTATTGGATAGAATGATGTAATTTGGGAATAACATAAATATATACCAAAATTTTTAAAAAGATTTACAAATTATTTCTATGGATTACAGACATCAGAGAGATATATGTCAAATTGTTCACAAATTCTTTAGAAATTTCAAAAAAAATCCACACAAGGAGGTGGAGAGGAGAGATTAGGTGTTCCGTGCTCGTGTTCGTGTGTTAGGTAGGGACGCACGCACCAGCATGATTGCTTGCTCGATGCTGAAGTGGTGCAGCTGCAGCAGGTGGTGAGTCACGGGACAACGACGAGGGGAGGTGCCGAGGACGAGGACACGAGGTGGAGGTGGTGGGCGGCGGCATGTGGCATCGGTCCGGGACGTGGGGAGGCCGTCGCATAACAATCGGTAAATCAATTGGATGATCATTAGCTTTATATAGATAGAGATAGAGATAGAGATAGAGATAGAGATAGATGACCTTGGGTCCACTAGCCACGCTTAGTGCCTGCCATCTCGTCTATTGTCGGACGCACTACAGGAACCTCCTTTGGTTTCCTGACACATTGCTCCACTCTCCACTCACTTCACCGAGCTACACCATTATTCAACTCGTGGAGCTCCGGTACTATTTTAGATGGAGCTCCGAGCTCATGTCTCGGACGCAACTATTTCAAGGAATCTCGTTTACCATCGTGCTGGAAAGAACGACAGCCACTCACACCTCACCTTCCTGCCCCGCCCGATCCATCCATGGCAGCCCCTACCGTCGTCTTACTTCCGGTATGGGGTGCCGGCCACCTTATGCCCATGCTCGAGGCCGGCAAGCGGCTGCTCACCCGCGGCCGCTGTGCGGTCTCGCTCACCGTGCTCGCCATCCCACCACCGCCCACGGAGGAGCTCGCGGCCGACCTCGACGCCTACATACGAAGGGAGGAGGCCTCCGGCCTCGACATCCGCTTCGTCCGCCTCCCCGCCGTGGAGCCGCCGACGGACTCCCGCGGCATCGAGGAGTTCGTCTCCAGGCTGGTCCAGCTGCACGCACCCCACGTCAGGGCGGCGATCTCCAGCCTGTCGTCCCCGGTGGCCGCGTTCGTCATCGACTTCTTCTGCACGACGCTGCTCGACGTGTCCCGCGAGCTCGCCGTGCCCGCGTACGTCTACTTCACCGCCAGCGCCGGGATGCTCGCGCTCTTCCTGTGCCTCCCGTCGCTCCACGAGGAGGTGACGGTCCAGTTTGAGGAGATGGAGGGCGCCGTGGACGTACCTGAGCTGCCGCCGGTGCCGCCGTCTTCCCTCCCGACGCCAGTGATGGACAAGAATAGCCCCAACTACACGTGGTTCGTGTACCACGGCAGGCGGTTCGCCGAGGCCGACGGCATCATCGTCAACACGTCTGCCGAGCTCTAGGCAAGGAAAGAAGAAGCATTGCAGTGGACAGTGAGGAGACGCCACGCGTCGTCTCCCGTTAGGCGACTCGGGGCGACGAGCTTCCACCGCCGGCTGCTCCTTGGCCGCCGCCGACGCTCCTCGGCATGCGGTGGCGGCGGCCGCGGTGGCGCTAAAAAAGGTGGCCTTCCGCATCCCTCTTCCTCCCCCTCTCTCCTTTCTCGCCCTCCCCAAGCTCCACCAGGAACAATGGCATTCACTGACTGGATCCACGTCCGCAGTCGCCGGATCTGCCACCTCCCTCTCAGGATCTGATGCCTCCGGCTAGATCCGGCCACCCTGTGCGGGGGCGTGGGGCTGCTGGACGTGGTGGCCAGATCCGGCCATCAGCGCCCGTCTATGGTGGCCTAGACGCGGCCAGCAAGCTGCCCCGTGGGGCCAGGCAGCGGCCGACAGCGGGGCCGCCCCACGTTCGTGCTCCTGGCAGTCGGGTGGGCTCCGCGCTCAGGGCGGCCACCGGCGTTCGATTCGGCTCCAGTCGCATGCCCCAGTTCCACGGCAGCCAGGTATCCTGGGCGCCGGATCTGCTTTGGTTGCTGCGCCAGATGGCTCTGTAGTGGTGGCGCCCTCCTAGCTGGTGGCTGGATCTGGCTAGGGCCTGGCCATGGTGGGCTAGTGGCAGCGCCCCCAGGTTGGTGGTGACCGGATCCAGCGCCCGGGTGGGCGGGCGACCACATCTCGTGCTCGCTCGTGACCGGAGGCCGTGGTGGCGACGGTCTACCGGGCCGGCGCGCATGCATCCCCTGGATCCGCGTCTCCGGGGCTGCGGCTGGCCTTCGGCGGCCCCGGGTTGGGCGGCCAAGGCCAGTGCGCCCGTGGCGGCCAGTGGGCCGGCTGCCTCGCGTTCACGGCTGCCGGCAGCCAGATCTGCGGCCATGGCCTGGGGCAGCCGTGGCTACCTCGGTTGTTGGAGCTGCCCCAGCAACGGAGTCGGCGACCCTGCTGCTGGTCTTGGGCGCTGGTGGGATCTGCATGGAGTTCTAGGCGAAAGCTCAGCTCGACTTTGGTCGGGCAGATGATGGTGACGCCTCGGGCGCCACATACCTTCTTGGTGGCGTCGTTGATGATCCCTTGCTCCCTGCCGATGGCGTCGGATTCTGGGCGTAAGCCCTGCCTTACATGTTGTATGGCCTGTGGCGATGGTGTTCACGGTTCTACCCTTGGACGTCACCCCCTTCCTGAAGGCGTTGCTGAAGAATATGTCGCTTGGCCCGATGTGGTCGCTGGCTTCCGTGGCTCCTTCTGTCGGTTAATGGAGGAGTTCCTCGTTGTGCCTCTCTGCACCTATGCTCTACTCACGATGGTTTGTCCTGCAGCAATTGACCTTGCCGTCGTCGCTGGGCTTTCATAGCGGATGCTTTTTGGCTATTGGTCGTTGGCCTCCCTCTGGCAGATGCTTTGTTGCCGAGTGTGTCATGGCCGTTCTCCCTGCGGATGCTTTGCCGCAGTGGACGTCTTCTTCATTGACGGATGCTTTGCCGCCGTTGTTGCTGGTTGCTCGCCTCTCTTCGCTGGTTAGATACTTTGCCACCAGGGCATTGTCTGGTTTGTAGGCAACCATCGCGTTGTTATATCCTATCTTGTAGGCACAGTTGGTAGGCTTTGGGTGTTGAGGGCGGTCGCTCTTTCTTTCCTTCTTTTTTTATCCCAGGTCACTAACCACTAGCTTGGTGGTTTTGTGATCTGAGGTGTGAGAGCTCTTTTATCGCTGCGTTGTTTAATTCACTCCTCTTAATGAAAAACAAGCTATATTACCTGATCGGAAAAAAAACAAGGACCGTCAACGTGTCGAGGACCGTGGACGGCGATGATGACAACCCGTGTTGACAGGTGGCCACGGAGACCAAGGTGCACGACCGAAGTAATGGTTCCCACCGCGATGCCTCTAGAAAGGAACATGACGCCAAGAGCACCATTGCCACCGGCACCGGCAAGTGGCCAAGCAAGGCTTTCACCTAGGAACCACCACCATCGCAGCGAGCCTCGTCACCAGGCCAGGCCAGTCACCACCCTTGACGTCCGCGACGCTGCAAAGCTCGGTGCCCCTGCACCGCACCAGGAAGCAAGCACCGCAGCCGACGCCGTTCCTATTCGGGGCAGGCCATGGCAAGGAAGCAAGCCACCGTTGAAGCACGTGGTCAAGGAACCGTACCCGCACGAACCGGGCAGTTCTTCGTCAAGGACCCGTGCAGGAGGTAGCGCTGGGCGCCACGCCTTGGCCAGCACCCTCGGGCGCGAACAGGGACCGCGCCTCCCTTGGGCCACGCCCTGTCGGCGCCCACGGCCGCACAGGAGACAGCGCTGGGCGCAGGGGCGGGCCCACCAGTATTAAGGGTATTCAGTTGAATACCCAAAAATTTTGGCAAAAAATTTATATATATAGTGTATATACAAGTCTATATTGAAAAAAAATACAACAAATCCGAACACTTGTAAAGAAAATCAGCCCAAACTAACATACTTCACTAAGTTTCCTCCCCCACCAGAAGGCTGACGGCCCAGTGGCCCATATGGATTAGCCCTTGGCAAATTTAACCGAGAACCGAACCGAAAGAATCGGAACCGAAACTGAAAAAACCGGAATCAAAAAATTCGGTTCCTGATATTGAGGAACCGAAATAACCGAAGAAAATTCGGTTCCTACTCTTGGTTAATCGAATTAACCGAAAGAACCGAATTACATGAATTATACTTCACTTACTTGTATTTTGTAGGATTATGTTTGGTTTATGTGTAGTGTTTTATATTTGAACTGCTATATATTTGTGTTACTATATTGCTATTGTTTTCTTATATATTATTATTATTAAAAATAAATATAGTGTTGCATAAATTTGCCTTAGAACAAGTATATTTATTATTGTCTTGAGGTCTTCTGAAAAAATTCGGTTAGTTCGGTTAGAACCGGAATCGAACCGAAATAACCGAGAACCGAAATGCTCGGTTCCTAAAATTTTTTTGAAACCGATCGGTTCCCGTTTTCTAGGAACCGAATTTCATCAATAACCGAGGGAATCGAACCGAGAACCGAACGCCCACCCTGAATATGGATAACCGTAGACCGTAGCCCGCACAGAGTCCCCTCGCCGAGAGACTTTGGCACCCATCGTCGAAAACTGGTTTCGTACTTTTACCATCTCGCAAAGTAGTTTCGCTCATTTGTCATTATGAGACTGGTGTAATCCACTGAAATATATTTTAGGTAGTTTTAATTCGTGGAAAAAAAAGAAGACACATTCTTCCACTTCTACCCCTGCCTGCTTTCTCCTTATACGATAGTCACCGTTCCCGTCCGTGGTCAAAACAGATCGACGCACCAGGTGACACCGTGCGGCACCTCCTTGGTGATGGCATCTTCGGCGCCGACGACAACGTGTGGAGGAGGCAGTGCAAGGCGGTCAGCCTCGAGTTCCACTAATTTGAGTTCAGCAAGGCCACGGCCGGCTTCGCTTGTCGAGTTTCGTGCACCACCACCGGTTTGGTCCTGTGGCGGGCCGACGCGAATGCGTGACGAAGACGAGCGCTCCTACACGGACAAGTTCCTCCGCGACATCTGCGTCAACTTCATCCTGGCCAGCCACGACACCTCGTCCGTGGCGCTCGCATGGATCTTCTCACTGCTCGGCAAGAACCCCACCGACGAGAGCGAAGCCGTTGTCCAAGAAGCTCTCCCTCGCCTTGTGCTCTAGCTCATTCCGGGCGGCGACCTACGCTCAAGCGCTCCCCCTCTCTGCTCTGTGGCCGTCGCGCTCCCGGACCCGCTCCCCCCTCGTGGTTCGGTGGCCGCGCGCGGCCGCTCGCCTTCCGACGGGGAAGCCGCGTAGCCATCATCGCGGTGACGGCAAAGCCGCCTCTCTCGGAGGCGCTTACGGCGCATGGTGGCGGGCAAGGCAATGCGGTGCGGCACCATCAAGAACGGGCGCTTACGTGCCTTTTGCGAACACGATGTGCGCGTGCGGGTTCGGAGCCGAGGTAGCACCGGGTTGGGAGGCCCCTGTTAGGGTGCGGCGATCGGCGACTGACCGATGAGTGGCGGAGAGGAGCCGGAAGATGAATGAACAGTACACTGTAATGTAGATGAGAAGCCGGAGAGGGAGCTGGGCCGTTGCAGCTCGGCGGCGCGCGCCCATGCCTGCTCTAGCTTTGCCAGCGCCTCCTCGTCCTCGTGGTACTCCGGCGAGGACATCTCCGCGTGCGCCATGGCCGCAGCTCGTTGAGGCTGGGCAGATGGAGAAAGATGGAGGCGGGAGGCGGCACCTGGATGGCCGGGCAGAGGTGGGACGCGGCACTTGGTGCGTCGATCCGTTTTGACCACGAACGGGAAACGGTGACTATCCTATAAGGAGAAAGCAGGCAGGGTAGAAGTGGAATGATGTATCTTTTTTTTCCACGAATTAAAACTATTTTTTTTTTCACGAATTAAAACTATCTAAAATATATTTCAGTAGGTTACACCAGTCTTATAATGGCAAACGAGTGAATGATAAAAGTAAGAAACCAATTTTCGATGACGTGTGAAATGTCGAAGTCTCCCTCGCCGAGGCTCACGCCTGCTCCCTCCCGCATCCCGCACGCGGAGTCACGGACGCCAATAGCGGAGCGGAGTCGCGAGCGAAGCAGGGGACCCTAGTGTCTAGCGATGAGCGCGAGCGGCAGCGGTAAGGGTGCACCGCACACCAGCAAAGCACAGCAGCAGGCCGCAGCTCGCACGGACAGGGGCCAGGCGGCGTCGGGCAAGGCAACCGCCACTGCAGTCGGGATCCGGCCGGCGGGCGGCGGCGGCAGCGGCAGCCGGCAGGGGCCAGGTTCGATAGGGGACCGTGTGAGCGATAGCAGTTGGGAAGGGAAGGATTGGATGGAAGAATGGGAGGAATAGCTTAGGAAGAAGAAGAACAGGGTGGACGACGGAGGAGTTCTTAGATTAGAAACAGAATCTCGTTCATACAATAGCTGAGTTCTTC